TTCAAACTAAAATAACCGCTTATTTTGACCAAACGCTTTAAACTAGATACTTATATAACCCGATAGTGTTTTTCAAAATATGATTGGCTAAACGTTATTATGAAAAGGAAATTTTAAAATAATAAAATTTCTATAGATGAAAGCGCCCGGAAGGTCATTGCCTCATTGGAAGTCTGGATGGTAAACAAAGGCGGCTCAATAATATTGATACCTCGACTTATATTTATGTAACAGAGGACTGTTAATCCTCTCATACTTTCTTTTAATTTTCCACGAGCTGAAATTAGATTTTGTCAATCCATTTCATAAGAAACATGGCCACTGCTGGTGCTTTGAGTCCTGGTGATCTAGATGCTAAATACAGTATTAAACGAGCCCCTACCTCAAAACCTCCATTTTCGTTATCAGATATCAAAAAAGCCATACCACCTCATTGTTTCCAAAGATCCTTGATTCGATCCTTTTCGTATCTTGTTTTTGATCTCATCATTTCCTCGATCTTCTACTACCTCGCCACAACTTATATTCGACAACTCCCTCACCCTCTCCCTTACATTGTATGGCCGGTTTACTGGTTCCTTCAAGGTTGTATATTCATGGGTCTTTGGCTTATTGCTCATGAATGTGGTCACCATGCCTTCAGTGACCACGTATGGGTCGAGGATTCTATAGGGTTTGTTTTACATTCATGCCTACTAACACCTTACTTTTCCTGGAAAATAAGCCACCGCCGACACCACGCTAACACCGGTTCTCTTCAGCATGATGAAGTATATGTACCAAAGACAAAATCAAAACTTGCTTCTTCCTCGTTTTACCTTGACAACCCAATTGGTCGAAGCTTAACCCTTCTTGTTAAACTCACTCTTGGATGGTACATCTATTTGACAATCAATGCTGCTGGAAGACCGTATGATAAATTTGCAAGCCACTACGATCCTAGAAGCCCGATTTTCTCAGATACTGAGAGAGTCTTGATCCTCATGTCTGATATCGGACTTGTAACATTTTCTTACATGTTGTACAAAGTGGCTATGATTCAAGGGTTCGCTTGGGTTTTCTGTGTGTATGGAGGTGCATTGATGGTCATGAACGCGTTTCTTGTTATCATCACTTACCTTCATCACACTCATCCTTCATTGCCTCATTATGATGACTCTGAATGGAACTGGATTAAAGGAGCACTGTCTACTGTAGATAGAGATTATGGAGTTCTAAATAAGGTGTTCCATAATATTACTGACACACATGTGCTACACCATTTGTTCTCATACATTCCACACTATCATGCCATGGAAGCCACCAAAGCGATCCGCCCTATTCTCGGTGAGTTTTATCAAAGTGATAGCACTCCATTTTTCTTGGCGTTATGGAGAGAATCCAAGAACTGTCTATTCGTTGAGCCGGATAATGAGATCGATGAGAAGAACAAAGGTATCTACTGGTTCAAAGGTCAATATTAATGTCATGTTTGTGTATTGTATTGCTTTTCAACCTTTATTCAGAAGATGTAATTTCTTGTAACGGCGTTGGCCAATTAAAAACAATAATAGTATCAACTGTGGTGGTCTGTTGTTTGAAGTGATCTACGCAAATTCAGATTAAAAAATTTAGCATTTTACATTAAAATATAAAAATTTGAATTTAGTTTTGTTTTTAAAAATGGCCATTTAGAAAAAACATTAATAACGAAATAATAAGTTGATCTTTGAATTTATTAAAAAACTAGGTGGTAGGCTCGTATAAACACCGACATAATAATATTGAACTGTGGAAGAGTTCTACCACATACATACACATACCAATAAAATTTAAACATTCAAGTGTTTTCTTCTAAACAATGGTTGTGCTTGATAAGTTCCATCTTCATCTATGATTACCACTTTTATAGCCTTTCTTGTTTGTAATTATAGACAAAACTGTTGGATTATGTGTCTAAACCGATAATTAAATTAGTATAATCCTGAATTATTAGCAAATTTCTTTTGTGTTGCCTTTAAACCAAGTAATGGGCTGGAATGTTTTTTCAAGAGAGAGACTAGTTTATTAATTTATTATATAGTTAATAATTTAATTAGGAATAAAAATAAATGATTTATTAATATACAATGAGAATAATATATAAATTAGAAATAATATTATTTAATTAAGAATTAATCAGAAATTAATTGGAGTTAATTTTGGGATTAATTGGATTAATTAAAAATGGAAGGACTAAAGGTGACAATGTTCAAAAGTTGAATATTGACCAATTCTAGAACCTCCTTATGAGGGGTGACGAATTCTAGATGGTATTTAGGGTTTTCCTAGGCAATAAGGAAGTCTATGAGTCCTTAGGAAGCAAGGAAAGGGGATAATATTTATTTAAGAAAATCTGTCTTATCTTAGTTCCCTTAGTCATCTATATAAACCCTCCTAAGTGTTCATACTTTCGTCTAATCCTTCTACAAGAGCGAGAGCCAAAAATTCTCATTCCCTCTCCTCTCTCGTCTTTAGCCTCCAACTTGCTAGGGTTTAGGTGTAAGCCATTAGAGACACGAGATTTCTGGTGCTTGCTTTCTGAAGACCAACAAGGAAGGATTACAAGTTTATTTGAAATAATAAACTAAGGTAAGTATTTTCTAATAACCTTTTAGTATTTTTCGAAAATAGCTACATGCTTCTAGCGGTCTTGATATTCAATTATTTGTTGCAAATCATAGTGAGAACATAGATCCTTTAGGGTGTATGTGAACTTAGGGTTTACGTTTTTCCGCCAAAGAATAGTTTTTGTATCATATAAAATGCATCAGTGGTATCAGAGTCATTGTTCTTATTGATCTTGGACAAAGTTGAATAAGATCAAAATTAGGGTTTGTAGAAACTAAACCCTAATGGAGGCGTTTTTCGAAAATTGCTAGGGTTCTAGAAACCCTAGCCTCCACCTTTAGGTTTTTAGATTTTCGCAAGGGTTTTAGAAACCCTAGCCTCCTCCCTTATTTTTGATTACTTAAAGGGTAAGTTAGGGTTTCCTTATTTGATAATTATTGTCTTAATTATTTAAAATAAAATAATTAAAATTAGATAACACCAATACCCTTATTTTTCGAAAATTTAGTAGGGATTGGATTAAGATGAAATTTAAATTATTTGATTAATAGTTAATAGTAAATAATTATTTAATCGTCATGAGATTTAAATTAATTTAATTAATTTTTAATTAAAATATAAATATTAAATCTTAATTGGTTTAGTTTAAATTAAATTAATATTTTTATTAATTTCAAAAATTTAAGTTAAGCCTAGTATTTTAGAAAAGTGTTAAAA